TATAGGTAAAAAGCAAATTACACCTAAGAGAGATGATCTTAATGCTTTTTTATTTTTAATCATTCAATGTTTAAATGTTATATTGTTCTAAATTAATAGGGCATAGGGGGATAAGTAAAAACTTAAAATTATTTATGTCATTAATTACAAACTCTTCCGTCGTTCCAACCTTTAGAACACACATTTAAATATTTTAAAATATATGATATATATATAGCAATTAAATTATGAAAATTGTGAGATTAAAGCTAGTCCTATAGTCCAGAGATCCGGTCCCCGCGTCAGGTCAGGTGCGCCCGAAAATAAAACGTGGACACGGCGATGGAGGCGCACTCAACTCACAAGGGAGAAAAGTGGGTGACATGAGATGATCAGCTTAATTAATTACATGTTTTGGTCAACTAAATCTTTAAACACAACTCTCTTGAGCTCTAAAAGGAAGAAACGCAGAAGAAATTTGCTGTTAAATAAATTTTAGCAGAGACTCAACTGCCAGTCATTTTCACATTAGTTGTTCGGGAAGATGTAGCCTAATAAAATGTTTTAATAAAAATAAATAGTTCACTGCACAGTCCCACAGTAGGCTACACTATAAATAATATTTTAATTTATTCATTAATATTATTATTACTATGATTACAATTAAGCTAAAATTGACAACGCATAGCCCTTTGAATGTTTGCTTTCATTTTGACATTGCTAAAAAGCGCACTTTTACAGTTGTGTAGAGAAACATCCCATATGCAGCAGCAGTCTAGGTATAATAAATGCCTTTTGCATTTAAAGATAACCAGCCTGCGAAGTCAAGTTTGCAGTGTTATAAATGGAATAGGTATATAGTGTTTAAGTGCAATTACAGCGGATCAACCGAGAAACCTCTCACAATCTTTTAAAAATGTGTAATTAAGGCTATACTGCTATTTGCTTATGCAAAATTAAACAACATTAAATATATTACAGCATATCGAATTTGTTTTGACTTGTAGCTCATGGCCCTAAAATAAAAATAACCTGAAAACAAGTTATTAAAATTTAAATAACTAAAAATGTTAATTTATTATAAATTAATAAATAAAATGACGGGTAGGCCTAGTAACCTAATGGTTAATGATGGTTTACAAATGACAAGCAGACAATATCACGAAAAAAAAATACACTTACGATAGCCTAAGATAAATCTTTATTTTTACATTTAAAATGATGAAAAAAGTTTTATAGCCTATTAAGTTGCCTGTTATCCGTGCCAAACAAATTTTCACGGTAATAACTGAATTTAGGCATATTTTTTAGGTATTTTTCTGGCTACACTAATGCCTTAAAATGTAACGAAGTAATTGTTTTGAATGACAGGGTAACATTTAGCTTTTCCCTAACACTGATGTTGGTTGGATAATACCCACCCAGCACGAGACGTCATTTCGACGTCGTTTTTTGGGCTAAATCAAGTCGGCCCGTCATAGACTTTATTTAGCCCAAATTTCGACGTCGAAAATTGGTCTGTATTTGGTCCGTCGAATTTGGTCTAAACATAGACCAAATATCGACGTGGTCTTTGTTTTGTCCGTCGGATTTGGTCTAAACAAAGACCAAATATCGACGTGGTTGTTTTGCCCGTCGGATTTGGTCCAAACATAGACCAAATATCGACGTGGTCTTTGTTTTGCCCGTCGGATTTGGTCCAAACATAGACCAAATATCGACGTGGTTGTTTTGCCCGTTGGATTTCGTATAAACATAGACCAAATATCGACGTGGTCTTCGTTTTGTCCGTCGGATTTGGTCCAAATATAGACCAAATATCGACGTGGTTGTTTTGCCCGTCGGATTTGGTCCAAACATAGACCAAATATCGACGTGGTCTTTGTTTTGTCCGTCGGATTTGGTCTAAACATAGACCAAATAACGACGTGGTTGTTTTGCCCGTCAGATTTGGTCCACATTTAGCCCAGTATCAGACTTGAACATATGGTTAAAAAGAATTACATAAGTTCCTTACAAAATGTTTTACATCTATTGCTTTCCAGTCCAATGTAGAATGCAAAATATATTTATATAGCAGTTTAGTGCCATTACATTTCAATAATGGCAAACAAATAACGACGTTACCGCTGTTAACTCCTTCTCTATTTTCCCTTCTGCTTCATGCACTGATGCATATACTTTTCATTTAAGTTGATTTATTAATAAGGCAAAAGATTGTAACAAATAATGTAAATTTAAATTTGAAGTAAATCAACGTAAAAAAATAGATTAAATAAAATAGGGTAGAAAAAAACAAAATCGTAATACACTTTATAATGCCATTTTCTTTTATGATTTAATCTATTTATCTTATTATTAATAAATCATAAATGTACTATAATCCTATTTGCTGTAACAATAGGCTAACAGGATGCTCATCAATACATATTTTTACAAATAAATTAAAAAGTTAAATTTTTTTAAGTTATTAATTTCTACATCAATATAAAAACCAATACCTTCATTCCTTCTTACCTCGGGGGAGCTTTTTCATATTGCCCACTCACCAGACAACAACAATACAACATTTTTTTGTGATGTGTTTCATAGTTGAGAAAGCATATAGTGTATTTAAAAACAAAAAAACATGGTTTTAAAAACGCAGGCTCTTTTACAATCAATATATTAAAACAAATGCTTTGCTTTGATCTTTTCTCTTACTCGCGTTGCTGCGTGTCCCTGACCTGTGTGAACAATATCGAGAGGTCAGTAAAACTGAACTCATTTCATTATGATTTGAAATCAGTGTAAAGTGCTGTCGATTGACGTGTTGTCCTTTTCCCTTTTAAATGTGCCAAATTATCATATGTGATCTCCTCAACTGACAAGGGAAAAACGTCAAAAACATACTAGATGCTTTAAACTGTTCACTGCGGTAGTGCAATGCAAAATGGAAAATTTAGGATTCAATAATGAATTTTAAATAAATATTTAAATAATTTTAGTTTTAGAGTGCAGGTCGATGCACACACATAGGCATAATGCGCTATGATAATGCTAAATGATCATATATATTTTCTACAACCAACAAGTAGAATAATATGCAAAGATTTGCTATTCAAAAATTTGTTCATAATATAAAAAATACTGATGTCCATTGGCTCTAGTGCATTAAATAACAATTAATAATAACATTAAGATTTTTTTTTATCACAAAATATAGAAAATGGTATGTTGATATTTATTGAAGGTATCATTTCAATGTTTAAAATTCCAGCATTGTGAAAAACTAGTTACAATTATTGTAAATTTTATTATATCCATTAAAAACAATATGGGGGATTCTATATATGTTTGACATTAAAAGTAAATGTAAATTATATTAGAATTAAAGCTCTTTAAAACTGCAATTGTTTCCAGTATCTTATTTAGTTTTTATAATTCAGCTTTTGCCAATCATAAATGAATAAATGTTTTAATTTAGGGAATACAAAGATTTTTTATATTGTTTGTAAACTTACAATATGGATGAATTTAGTAATGTGTAAAAATAACACTAAATCATAGCAAGAAACCTCCTTATGGGTAATTACTAGATTGTAACTGAATTGGCAGTAACAATTTACAATTTTACAATTTCTTTAGCCGAACATTCTACTTGCTATAAATGCTAAGATCACTTGACACTGAAATCAGGATTAAAATATTTTTTTAATTGTCCAATATGTGATTTTTATTAGCAGTATTATAGTTATATGCATATATATTTTTTTAAATAAAAAAATTATTATAATTCTATATATTCTATATATTCTATTTTTATTCTAATATCATACAAATAATATAAATAAATAAATAAATAAATAAATAAATAATGAGGCTATTTATTATAAAAAGAAATGTAATATTTATTATTTTTTAGAAATGAAAAAAATCATACTTTGATAATAATAATAATATGATGATAATAATAATATAAATAATTATGATTGTTATTATTATTTGTATATTATTATTATTATTATCAATAATAATAATAATAATATTAATAATAATAATAATAATAATAATAATAATAATAACAATAATAATATTGTTGTTGTTGTTGTATTTGTTATTATTAGGATTTTTTTTAAGTCTATTTTTACAATTTCATACATGTAAACCACTGCAGAAAGTTCTAACCGGCAGGCCCATTTCATATACAGTACATACTTAATAAATAACTTACTATAAATTAAAAGAATTAACGTATGCTTTTTCCCAGACAGCACACATACGTTGGGCCGACGTCGGCCGAAGGTCAACACGTCGGCCCCTTTAATTCTAACATCGGTATATGGTCGGCCAAACATACGCATGATCGTTCGGTCGTGTGTTCTATTGTTCCAGCTCAACAAACGTCGGCTCTGCATCGGTTAACGACCAGAGGCCGACGAAGCACTTCATAAGCACTTGATCTCTCATGCCCATGAAAGAATCCGGCAACATATTTGGTTTACAAGTAAGTTTTTGCGTGCATAATAAATTAGACAAACGCGACATGCATCATGTGAACTGCGTCGGTCGGTCCAGCTTTAAATAGCCTACATTAATGCAGTAAAACTGACCAAAATGCCTACAATACATAATTTCAATTCATTAAAATATAAAAAGTTTTATTGTTATGCTTTAATAATGAAAACGTTGTTTTTTCTGGTGTTAACTGCTGTTTGCTTTTTTTATTGTGGCTTTTTCTAATACATTTTCCCAGTGTAAAAATCAAGTATGTTTTGCATTTCGGCTGTTTAATTAAAATAAACACCTTTTTACAGAGTGACATCTTTGTTTTATATATACTTGCATTTATATTTATTGGTTATTTATTTTTGACAGTGAATGCACAAATAAAGTGTTTGTTTTGTAACAGTTTAGTAGGCTATAAAGCTCGTCTTAAAGATAATAGCGTATATAAAACTGCTAAATACATTTTAAATTCAAGATATAAAATACAAGGTTATTATTTAAATTGTCTATGGAGTGATCATGTTTATAAATGTAATACTGCAAGACTTTGATGTGCGCGCGCGCGTCTTGCTTCCAACACTGGAGCGGAGAGGGTGTTGCTATGGGAAACGAAGCTACAACACGACACGACACCACCTAAAAGACACAACACGACTTCTCTCAAGCTGCCGTTTTGACTGTTTTCAGGTAAGTTTAGTCCCTAAAACAAAGCAAATACTACATAAAACTGTTCCTCACACATTTATTATTGGCAATTGACGAATATTCAGTTGAATATTATGTTATATAAGAGTGGTAAGTCTTCGTAAAAGTCCGTTAGCATATTAGCACTGGTAACGTTAGCGTCGGGGTAATATTACGTTAACTTACTTAATTTTAGCTCTTGTTAAACTTGTTTGTTAAAGTTTTGGCTTTTATTTATTCTTTATGTGTAGATGAGAGGTTTTGTCAATGTTTTATTGAATGCACTCCATATGTAGTCTAAAATACGCATTGTAACGTTACTGTAAAGGACCGTGAATCAAAAGTTCAATCGTGTTTTGATATTTCATGGTATCTTAAACTAAATGTTAAGTAAAAAAGTGTTCTGTGGTTTCAGGAGTGAGAGAATAACCTCCTGCTACAAAAATATAACTCAAGATTCCTAAATTTCTGAAGGGAGCTGATCACACAGATACAGGAAAGACAGGTAACTTTAAGCATAGGATTAATTCATATGAATTTCCATTGCACATCATTATGCACATGTTACATGTCTATATATTATGCATCTGTTACTTGTCTTTATTGCAGTTGTTTTAAGAAAGTTTTGACATTGAAACATGTTAGTGGTATTAAATTTCACATCACATGATTCTTCAGAACTTAGTAAATATATAGATTTGCTGCTAATGAAGTAATATTTGTGATTTTCATTTTGTTTAATTTTTTATGATTAATTGATTTATTAAATCTTAGAAAAAAGTTTACACTAAATTATTTGTCATCACATCTGTTTTTAGCATTGATAGCAATCCGAAATGTTTCTTGAGCAGCAAATCAGCACCATTTGATAATCACCATTATATTAGTTCAACCTCAAGCACTAAATCAACATCTTAAAAAAAGATTTCTGAAAGATCAAGTGACACTGAAGACTTGAGTAATGATGCTGAAAATTTAGCTTTACATCATAGCTATGAATTACATGTATATTTACACTGTTCACCCATCCCTTACACCTTAACTCATCCTTAAGTCAATTTAAGCCCTAAATTAATAATTTTTGATTTGTACAGGCATGATATGCAACTTGTATTCAGTCGTTTTGTTTTTTCTTTCTTTTGCTTTTGTTTTCCACATCAACTGAAAAGGAGGTTTAAGTTTAACCTAAGTGCCGTGTTGCTGATGAACATCTTTATATGTAAGTATATTTTTGACTGACTGCCAGACACTTGTCAAACAGTGATGAGCAAACGAATGGCCGTTCTTTTAAAAAGATCAGGGAGATGCAAGTCTGGAGATTAATATACATTTTAATTCAAAATTAATTTATCTGGAAATATTTCATAATTTGTTGAGATATGTGCCCTTTATGCATTTAGATGTCCATCCATGTTTAAAATACTTTTAAATTTAACAACGGCTGCAAGTTATAAAAACATAAACAAACACAAAAATGTTAAAGTAAATTGAGAAAACATTTTCATCAGTTTGACAACAGGTAGATCAGCTCCTGACAGACATGTTAACAGATCAGTTTAACTCTTATTAAATTCATTCATTCATTCATTCATTCATTCATTCATTCATTCATTCATTCATTTTCTTTTCTGCTTAGTCCCTTTATTAATCTGGGGTAACCACAGCGGAATGAACTGTCAACTTATCCAGCATATGTTTTACGCAGTGGATGCCCTTCCAGCTGCAAGCCATCACTGGGAAACAACCATATACGCTTGTTCTCACTCATACACTACAGACAATTTAGCCTACCCAATTCACCTGTACCCCATGTCTTTGGACTTGTAGGCAAAACCGGAGCACCCAGAGAAAACCCACCAAACGCAGAGAGAATTTGCAAACTACACACAGAAATGCCTGCTGATCCAGCTGCGGCTCGAGTCAGCATCCTTGCTGTAAGGCGACAGCACTACCTATTGTGCCACCACGTCACGCTCTTATTAAATTATATTTATATAATTTTGTGTTTCAGTACATGCTATTTTGGGAAGACAAAATATATTCATAAGCTCTCAGAAAATTCAATAAGAGAATTAATTCATTCATTTTAAGAGAATTAACTGCACAATTACTTGAAATGTGTGGGATTACATTATTTGTTAACCCAAAGTGAGTTTCTCTTTCTTTGCAGTATTGGATGCCTGATTGCAGTTCAACTCCAAACTCAGTTGGACCAGCTGATCAGTGTCTTCAGTATTACCACAAGCTACTGGGCAGATGTGTGGACAGCTATGAGCCAAACTTGGGACGTTTGGTTTTTAGGTAATACCAGTGACAAAGTATTCAGTAAATTGCTTATAATAAAAGATGCTCACTGCTTACCCCCTTATAGTTAAGTTGTTTGCAGTTTCATTGTTGTAAAAATACCATACTTTTTCCTTTTTTTATAAGCAGGTGTGACCGTCTGGGCAGCAGAAACAAGACAACTAATCATAGTTGAGTTGAGATTAGTATTATTAACTTGACTAGTTTGGTTGCAGACTTGTTCAATACTTAACAATTTGTATAAGTTACAAGATCAATGGTCCTGCTATCAATGTTTGTGTAACTTAAATTCATTACAGTTTAGATACAATCAAATGTCCAAACCATCTCTGAGTGAATGACATCAAGGAAACAGGATCAAAAAGATCATTCATTATAGAATGTTTCATAGGTAACAGCACATCCTTTGTGAAAAATAATTTATTTTTGCGCCATCATTACAAGACAAAATACATTTCAACTGATTTCAGTTGGTTATATTTTTCAGGTCCTCCTGATCATTCTGTTCTCCTGGTTGTGAGGATGTGCAGAGGCTGTATTTGTCAGTGTTAAAAGACTTGTGCAGCTGTATCCAGACATACAAGCAGCCGACAAAGAGTTCTGGAGCAGGACAGACAGGTAGTTCACAGTGGCTAGGCTAGAAGTTTATACTTGGGTGGCCAGAAAGTGGCCTCCGCTATTTTGGGGGGTCCATACAAATACACCAGTGTAAGCTATACTATTGCACAGAAAAAATTAAATGAAAGAATTAATTAATCGGTTGAACACAAAATATTTTAAAGAAAGCTTAAGTATCAAGGTGGCAATATACAGTATGTTACATTGTAGTACATGAGCTGGCTAATACAGATTCGTAAATGTTTAGTTGTTAAGATTAGTTAAATACTATATCCTCTACTTGAGACCTGTTGCATATACAGCTTTAACTGAACTGAATTTAACTAGAACTACACCAGCATTCCAAGTGCTCTAGACTAGCTTTTTGCACTGGTGCGTCTAAAATGTTTGATGGCATTGCATTTAACACTGCAATTTTATATGTTAATTTTTTTTTAAATTACAATCCATATAGGCAATATTGACTTGTAAATGATTAACTAAAATCGGGTCAACACACATAATGGGGATTGTGTGTAGAATTTTGAGGAAATTAATGAATTTAATCCATTTTGAAATAAGACTGAAACATTAAAAATGTGGAAAAAGTAAAGTATCAATACTTTCCGGATGCATTGTATATGGTTTTTAGCGCGTTATCAAAGACTTAAAAAAATAGTCCAACATTATTTACAGCAGCAAAAGACCCTCCACATCAAAAGCTACTGGTCAGCTCACGATTCAGCAAACATCTGAAAAACAAATAGCTTATTATGCCTTCACAAGAAATCAGTGTTTTTGAGTCTAATGAAGATAGTACTATTTTATTAAATTATTATTTAGCCTGGCATGTTTACTGTTACAAAATATTTTAAATGTTTCTTAAAACAAAACATATTGTGTTCAATGGGGAAAAAGTAGCTGTTTTTTACACAGAGATAAAAAAAACACATTTCAGAGCAGTAATCACAATACTTTGAAACTGTGATATTTTTATCCAAGATTATACCCTCAGAATTTTTTAATTTATTTTTTTTTCAGTTGGCCTATATTCTGTTTTTCTATGTTCTTGGAAATGCTGCTGTGCTTGAAAATGTGACGATATATCCGGTTCTATAGTTAATTCTGAAATAAATCTTAAAATGAAACAATATTTAAAAATGCAATATTTAATGTGTCAGACACTAAATAAACATGTCAATTCATTTATATTAATCTGATTCCTTAACAGGGCAGCACGGTGGCGCAGAGGGTAGCACGTTTGCCTCACAGCAAGAAGGTTGCTGCTTCAAGCTTCGGCTGGGTCAGTTGGCGTTTCTGTGTGAAGTTTGCATGCTCTCCCCGTGTTGGCATGGGTTTCCTCCGGGTGCTCCGGTTTTCCCAAGTCCAAAGACATAGGTGAATTGGGTATGCTAAAATTGACCATAGTGTATAAGTGTGTGTGAATGAGTGTGTATTGGTTACAGCTGGAAGGGCATCCACTGCGTAAAACATAGGCTGGCAAAGTTGGCCTTTCATTCCGCTGTGGTGACCCCAGATTAATAAAGGGACTAAGCCCAAAAGACAATGAATGAATGAATCCTTAACAGTTAAAATTAACCATTTGAGCGTGCTTAGTTTAGGGTATGTTGTGCCATTAAATTGTCAATAGGTTTTATTTTTTTCTACATTTTAAATCTGCTTTAGCTTTCTTCTTTCCTATAAACCTGGAAATATAAAATATATATTTTTGGTTTTTAACAAATTGCTCATTTTATTCTTAGATTGGTGTACGCTGATGGTCTGCTGAGAATTCTGCTGAGTTGAAGGGATCCTCCTGTCAGACAACCTCTCCAAAGTACAATAGGACTAGTAAGTAACATCTTAAACATACACTACTGTTTCATAGCTTTTAGGTTGGTATGGTAAATTCTCTTCTGATAGTGTCAGCTTTATTTAATTAATACAGTCAAGCAGTAATACTGTGAATTTAATACAATGTATATAATTAATAGTGTCACTTGATCCTTCTGAAAAAATAGTTTTCCAATGTACTGATTCTCTCCTCAAGCTGTTTTTTTTATATATAAAACATTTTAAATAAACATATTTTTAGTATTCTTGATGTATGAAAAGTTTATTTTTAAAAGCATAGTATTTATTTGAAAAAAAAAAAGTTTGCTCTTTGATGATTGCTAGCAATCAGACATGTTTCTTTAGAACAAAAAGAATTTGTGGAAAAAAAGTATTCTCACTGAGCGTTGTTCAGCTGTGGTCAACACGTCATTTAAGTTTTCAAATAAGCCTAAAAGACCTGATTAGCTGCATAAGGTGCATTTAATTAGAGAGTTGAATATATCATTTCTTTTTATATCCTCCTCTATAGCCTACATATAATAGAAGTTGTTTGCTGAAAAACCTTTTTGTAGCAGAAATAAAGCTATGATTAGGCCCACCCGGATTTTTCGCAGAACTCCGCAGATGTTTAGCCTATCATTAATTCTGTTTATTTACTTGAGTAAATGTGTGTAAATCTATATTTATTCAGTTTTTTTATTAATTTCAGTAATATTATTGGCTAATGTGAAAATGTTCATCTGATTTATGTACAATGCAGTTTGTACAGTAATATTTTCTGTCTTACTAGATATGTTACATGAAAAACTTGCTTTATTTACCAAATAAAGTGAATCTAATTGGATTTGCATTTTAAACATTAAATAAAACTTTAAAATATATTATTTTTTATTTCATATATTAAGGTTTTAGTTATGATACTCCCAAAATAATTCCGCAGAAATCCGCAGACTTCCACCAAAATTTTCAGCAGAAATAGCAAAAAACATCTGCAGATTCCTCCTGGCCCTAGCTATGATATATTAAATGTGGTGTACAGTGTGACATTTTAGTTGACGAAACTTAGTTTAATTTGCATGTAATGTGGTATCTGAAGATTTGACATATATTTAGAGACACATTTATACTAACACAATGATACTAAAAACCAAAAAAAAAACATTCATTATGATTTCACAAGGAATTTAACTTTCAAATGGCTTTTCTGAAAATTAGTGCTCAGACACATTCTTTAAGTTTAAATTAAATTACACATTTTAGCTAGTCACTTGCATAACACATACTCCAGTTATATGTCATGAAACAAATAATTTATATTTGTGGTAATATGAACTGCTCAAATGCTAATCTTTCTCCTTTTGGTTTCTTGCTTTATTTAAGGGTTCCCACTACAAGGATTAGATTTGGCTACTGCAGTCCCGGTTTGGGCCAGCCTCACTTGTGAAGACTAAAGATGAAGGCAACATACAAGAACAATTTCGAGGATGGCGACACACTTTTTATTCCACCTATATATCCCCTTTTATGTGTAAGCAACATTCCACAAGATAAAACAAAAGTAAATGACAGGTTATTTCTTTTAATTTTGTCTGTTTTCTTGGAACATTGTACACAATTTACAACCAGTTTTATTTATATAAATATAGGTCAGAGCAAGAAAATGTTATGTTTTCTTCTGGAGAAAGTCTTATTTCTTTTATTTAGGCTAGAATAAAAACAGTTTTGAATTTTTTAAAAAACATTTTAAGGTCAATATTATTAGCCCCTTTAAGCAATTTTTTTCGACTGTCTACAGAACAAACCATCGATATACAATAACTTGCCTAATTACCCTAACCTGTCTAGTTAAGCTAATTAACCTAATTAAGCCTTTAAATTTCACTTTAAGCTGTATAGAAGTGTCTTGAAAATATCTAGTCAAATATTATTTACTCGGTTATTAGAAATGAGTTATTAAAACTATTGTGATTAGAAATGTGTTAAAAAATATTTCCGTTAAACAGAAATTAAGGGATTTTATATATATATATATATATATATATATATATATATATATATATATATATATATATATATATATAGAATGACAAAATCTGTTTTGTGTCGTGCATTAGAGTTTGCTTAAAAAACTGGTTATCTCTGAGAAAGTATTATTTTATATTATTGGTGTGTTATTAGTTCAGAGGAGATTGCAAATTGTTGAATGCCATTTATAAAAAAATGTTAAAAAAAATTGACTACAGACTTTAATAAAATTTTATCAGACAATTATTTTAATTTGTATGATTTTATTTACTACTGTAAATATTGTTTGCTTGGTATTTATTTGTGTTTGTGTACTCTTTTTTTTATTGTAACTCCCTGAAGAAAGTCTTTTGGATACTGAACACATGACTGGTATTATCTTGTATTTTAAAATTATAGTCTTGGAAACATGCATTTTCTTTAACACTATTTAAGAAATTATAAGCATTATAACATGTGCTTACACAA